ATGGGATGTTTGATAACCATTTCATTTTCAATTTTCAGTTTTCATTTTCACTTTTTTTATAACTGAAAACTGAAAACATGTTTTGTAACAAATTTCATTTTCAGTTTTCAAAATAGTGAAATCTAGTTTTCAAAATCACCCTTATTTTTTGAAACAACACTTGTTTTTAGTTTTCGTTTTCATTTTTTTTGTGCTCTTAATTCATTCATTAATTTTACATCACGACCCATGAAATGCACTCTAGTTATATATCAAAAATTGGTATGACCTCCCGACTTGGATAAAATCATCCTAATTCTAAAAAATTTACCAATAGATAAATAAAATATAAACAAAGATAAATCAAAAAAGGCATGCAATCTTATGTGACACAAAAGTCAAAGGACTTGGATCAACAACAATTTCTACGTGGATTGCACCCAAAATCTCCCATAAGGAAATCATTAGAATGGGAGGTACTAGAAAGAATTTAAATTCTCATTCCCCAATATCTCTTATACAAATAAAATAATTGAAGAAATAGCTCTAGTCCAATGGACTAGAGTGGTATTTCAGCTCCAAACATTAAAATGATATTACAAAATTGTATATTTCAAGCGTATAGCCGGGCGGCTATACTCGCCATATATATATATGAAAATTTTATATGTATAGCCGGTCGGCTATACGTTCTAAATACATTCGAATATTTTAAAAGTATAAATGTTAATATAATCGAATATTTTAAGAGTATAGCCGCCCGGCTATACTCTTTTAATATATTCCAAAACGAACACGGAGCTTGCACTCGCAGAGGACGGAGGTTGCAGTCGAAGTTTCGCTTCTCTATCAACTCAAGCTTCGATTTGTTTTCTTCGGTTTCGGCTGCTTCGTCCTCCGGGTTCGGCAACGAAAAAAGACCCAACCTGCCTAGGAGGCCCGCCCAGCCGCCTAGCCGCCTAGCGCCCGCCTAGACGGAGGTTGCAGTTGAAGGTTCGCTTCTCCATCAACTCAAGCTTCGATTTGTTTTATTCGGTTTCGGCTGCTTCGTCCTCCGGGTTCGGCAACAAAAAAAGACCCAACCCGCCTAGGAGGCCCGCCCAGCCGTCTCGCCGCCCGCCTAGCCGCCGTCCCTAGGCCCATTTTTTTAGAGTCTAAAGCACAAGATGCCGGAGATAGACTCGAAACGGTTGCCTCTCAGGCTCAAAAGGTCATGCACTGATGTACTCAATCCGTCTTTGGTCTATGGCTATGAGTGTGTGATGTTGTTAGTGTGGTGTTCATTTTGCCATTGGCTTCTTTCTCTTTGCTTTCAGATGGCTGACATTGTTACAGAACAATGGATTCAAATTCAGCGGCTTGAGCAGGCTCTTCATATTACACAAGTAAGTTTTTTCTGCTTGAAACTGGCTTCAGGTTCTTTATTTGCTAAATTCATAAGTTTTGCTGATTCACTAATATTTGCTAGTTTCTTCTTGGTTGGACTGCTTTTCATTCTTTGGATATTGCATTTCTGTTATAGATTTTGACATTTGATCATGCCCTCTTGTTTTCTGAGAGAAAAAAGAAAAAAGAAGAAAGATTTGGCTCCTCCTCCTGTTGCATAGGAACCCAAACCCAACGCACCAAAGGACAGAAAAAAAAATTGAAATATTACACCACCTCAAGTGAAAAATCTAATTCATTTAAGCTTTTATATTTGTTCTCGTATCAGCATCTGTGTTTCTGTTGTGTGAACTCCACCTCAACTCCAAAGAAAACAAATAAAAAAAATTAGAGGGTGCATTTGCTAAAGCATGGTTTGGGACTCTCTTCATTATATTTAACTTTTCAAACTGACTTCAAAAGCACCGGATTAACATACCAACATGAAATATCGTTTATCGAGCCTCCCTTGGTGTAAAAGGACTGTGACTTCATTAGCTGAAAATGCTTTAGAAGAAGGATTGACCTCGAGTTCATTGACATCCCTTTCACTATAAAAACCTGGCTTTTAAGGTTGAGGCAATGACCCTTCGATTTTGAAGGATAGCAAAGATTATTCAGCAAACATTTCCAATTTTGAAGGATTCAGAAGGTGACAAATATTTTAATCTGATCTCGTAACAATTTGTGTCTAATAATGGCTAATATGCCGTTAGAGAAACAGGGATAGAGGTGTGCAAATCACTGTGCTGGTTGTAACATTTGGCTAATATGTACCTACAGGAACTATGAATATGTCTGTTTTCTCACTGTCCAGCATTCAGTCCCATATAGCATGGCTGGTCTAACAGATGTTCTATAAACTTAGCTTTCAATTCTAGCAAAATATGATGATCACACTATATATATGCTTAACAAAACCCTCCATTTTACCTATCGTGCTTTGATTCTATGAGCCACATAATCTCCATTCTCCCCTTGTATATATGGATGATTGAGTACATGCTAGATAGTGAAAGTTTTTGCTTTTTGATATACTCTTAGTGGTGCAATTGGTTGCTCTTATGTCTTCGTCAGAACCAAAGGCCCCTAGTGAAAGTGTTGAGACAGACTTGTTGTATCTACCCAGCTTTTTTTTTTTTGTTCAGAATATTTTGGATGTGTTATTAAAAGTGTGAAGATAGCATTTTATTCCTATGGTAAATGGATGCTATATGTGCAATGCTTATGATTTCTTATCTCAGTTGTAGGTGAAACAAAGACTTCCGTAGCTTCTGGAAATGAGCATATTGGGGAGAAGCAATTAACGGATGTCTTAGTTAATTGGTGAAACTTCTTATAAGAAGGAGTCCAAAATAGTAAAGGAGCCACGCAGAGTTCAACAATGAGGCACCCATCACCTATTTCCAGTCCAGGCAAGGGATATGACTTACAAATTATTATTTTATTTATTTTGGAACTGCAGAATTGGTTATACTTTAAGTCTTCTTTTAAGTTTAATAAAATTGGTAATATATTTAGGTGTTATTTTTGGGTGTCCAATTCTTTCCTAACAAGTTAAGAGTATA